ACAAAAAAAAAAAAAAAAGAAAGGAAAAAAAAAAAAAGAAAGTTTGCCTTCTGGTGGAAGCTTTCTCCGTGTGTGTGACCTGACTGTCTCAGAGCATTCGGATGTCAGCCCATCACCCCTACCTCGGTCAGTTGGCTGGGTTCTTTGGGGATGCTGTTGGAGCCTGTTGAACAGACCCCAGTGGCATGAGCAGCTGGCACTGGGGGTTTTAAAAGCACAACTTTCTGTATTAATTGGACAACTCAGATTTTGAGGGATAAGATCAGAAGGAAGTCATCTGGAGTGCTCTTTGGCCGAAGGGTTTGAGATGCTGCTGAGCTTGACTGCCACCCACATTCCAGAGGGTGCCAGGGCACCCTTCAGGATAGACTGAGTGACTTCTGCCTGGAGGCTCTGTGGAGGAACAGCAGACTAGACCCTGCCTGTGTCTCTGTTGGTGTCAGCGACATAGGAGAAGACTGCTGTCCCTGGGCTCCAGGCACAGACACACCTGCCCTAGGAGCCCTTGGTGTGGCCATGGCTGGGGAGCTGCACACAACCCGGGGTCTCTAGAGCAGCTGCCTGAAGAGGCTGACACCTTTAGTCACTGCTTTAAAAAAAAAAAAAAAAACACACAGCTCAATGATTATTCAAAGAGACTTTTCTGACTTTCTCATTTTAAAGATATCAGCGGGCTCCAGGCACAGACACACCTGCCCTAGGAGCCCTTGGTGTGGCCATGGCTGGGGAGCTGCACACACCCCGGGGTCTCTAGAGCAGCTGCCTGAAGAGGCTGACACCTTTAGTCACTGCTTTAAAAAAAAAAAAAAAAGATGGACCCATGGGCCAGCGTAGGACTGTGAAGTGCAGACTTGGGGGCGCCTGTCTCTTGTGGTTCAGGTACCCCATTTTAACATCAGAGGGGTTCATAGACCCAGAGGCTGGCCAGTTAGCTCACTTGGTTAGAGTGTGGTACTGATAACACCAAGATCAAGGGTTTGGATCTCCCTAGCCGCCAAAACAAAAAACACACAAAAAGTAAAAGAAGGGTTCACAGACCCACCCCTTGCTGCCCTCCGTAGTGATCAGGTGTTTTGTCCCCAGGAGTTAGGTTTCCCGCAATGAGGTCAGATAAGGCTGTAAACATGCTTCTACCTCCTACACCTCCTGGCCCCGTCTCAGCCGCACCTCCACTCCCTTACGCCCATGCTCTCATTGCAGGTAAGAAGGTTCAGTTTCGGAAACCAGCCCCAGGGGCTACGGATGCCGTGCCCTCCCGGAAGCGGGCAACCCCTATCAACCTGGCAAGTGCCATCAGGAAAAGCGGCACTGGTGGTGTGAGTGGGGGCAGTGGGGTGTCTCAGAGGCCCTTCCGGGACCGAGTACTGCACCTCCTGGCGCTGAGACCCTACCGGAAGGCCGAGCTGCTCCTGCGGCTGCAGAAGGATGGCCTGGTGCAGGCAGACAAGGACACTCTGGACGGCCTCCTCCAGCAGGTGCGTGCCCACCTGGGGGTGGGGGAGCAGGGGGATCACCACCTCTGTCTGATTCTGGCCTCTGCAGATGATTGCTTCTGGGCGGAAAGGACCTAAACACTGAGGCTGGGATTCGGGCTGGCTGGGAAGAGCCTTCCTGGGGTCTCTCCTGGATTCACAGCGTGCCTCAGAGCTGTGGCCTTCTGGGTTAGAACAGGCTTAGGGAGGCCATGGACGTGTCTCTGGGTGTGGTGCTCGCTGTTCGGGGGCCCCAGGGGTCAGCTCAGCATGGTGGCCATGTCCCCCTCCTCCATGGTCTGCTGACACACAGGCAACAGGGCCCAGCACCATGTATCCAAGGCCTTGGTTGCATTCGGTTTGTAGAATCGGAGCCTGGGGAGCCTGCACATGCATGTTGGAGCTCGTGCTCCCCAGGCAGGCCGCAATGCAGATTGGCTCCCTGACACTCTCCAGCTGTGATTCCAGCAAGAGGCTTCACATTGCAGACCCTCGGGCTTCCGTCTGTGACTGGGGTGCAACCGCAGCACCTCTCTCGGGGATGTGTGCTGGCAGGTGGAGCCTGCTGTGTGAGACACCCTGGGGGTGTTAGGGCAGGAGTGTGGCTCTGGCCACCTTCTCGCTGTCCCCCACAGACATTCCCCAGGCCCTGCCCTGGCTCCCCGGGAACCCAAGGAAGGTGAACGACTGGAGCTGGCCTTGCAACATTAGTGGGCTGTGTGCACGCAACCTTGCTGTGCTCGAGAAGGTGTGGCTGAGCCTCCTGTGTCCACAGGGCAACAGGATATTAGAGTCACATTTTCCTGAGCCACCACATCCCACACAGAGCTGAATGCCCTGTGTTCAATCCCAGTATCAACCAGCCACAAAAAGAAAAGAAAAGGATGTTTAGTTTCATGACCCAAAAGTTTTCTTTGGTAAAGGGGCTTGCCAAAGCCTCCAAAAAGCTCCAGAACCTGAGAGATGTCCACAGGGGACTCTTTTCCTAAGACAGTCAAAGGTGTTGGCCTTGTTCTCAGGAACTCTGAGGGAAGGATAGAGAAGCCCTCTCCCAGGCTGGGTGTTCCCTGTGCCCCCTGTCCAGCACAGGGAAACTCAGGCAGGGCTGGCACATCACTGGCAGGAGTTGCTGAGGGGAACTCGATGGAGTTGTCAGACACAGGTGGGACCCATGTGGCTTGGATAGGTGGTACCAAGCCAGTCCTTTCCCAGGACCAAAGACAGGTCATGCCAGGCCTTGTGGGCAGAGTGTCCCTTCCTGTGCCCACCCCATTTTCTCCTTAATAGCTCCGTCATCTGCCCTCTGTTCTCCATGCCGCATGTTCTCCCCAGAAGTTGTAGAGGTGGCTGGGCCCCGTTGCTTGCAGAAGGGGATGGCCTCAGGGATGTGCTGCACCCGGGCCACCAGGGTCTCCGAGGAGCAGCAGGGATAGAGACACACTCATCAGCGGCACCCTTGCTGCTCCTCCTGTGGGCACACCCAAAGCAAAGGTACCAGACGTCTGTCTCCAGCGCTGGCTAATCCCCAGGGAAACATAGGCTCATCTTCGAGGGTAGGGTGTTGATGGGTGGGTGATATTTAGCAAAACCTATCAAGAGCAGTAGAAACTTTCCAAGCCCTTGACCTGCTAGTCCCACTTCTGGGAAGCCAGCTGAAGGAAGCATTGCCAGAGTGGAAAAACGTACACACAGCGATGACTGTTTGTGCTGCACAGGAGCTGGGAATGGCGTCGGCATCCAGCAATAGAGAAGTGTCTGATTAATTACGGTTCAGTCACTGGGTGCAATATTATTCAACTGCTAAAAAATGCTCCCTGTGGAAACTGCTCTGACATGGAGTCCTCATGGGATGTGGCCACAGTGGGAAACGGCAGCCGCCACGTTTGGCTGGAGACCAGGGCCCCCAGGAGGCTGTCCCAGATGGGCCCACTTAGGACAGTGGGCTGTTTCAGACAGATGTTCTGACTCAGTCATTGCCAACAGTCTTGGAGACCAGCTCAGCTCGTTTGGCTGGAGACCAGGGCCCCCAGGAGGCTGTCCCAGATGGGCCCACTTAGGACAGTGGCACTGAACTCCCTTAAGGCTGTTTCAGACAGATGTTCTGACTCAGTCATTGCCAACAGTCTTGGAGACCAGCTCAGCTTATGTCAGTGAGCGAGAGCAGGGCTGGCTGCTTGCAGGGCAGGTGGGCGCAGGCCTGGCCCGTGGAGGCGCCCCTCTCCTGGCAGCCTGTCTGTGGCCAGCTCTGCTGTGGGAGCTGCGATCTGAAGTGAAAGTGTGGGGCTGCTGATGGGGTTGTGGGAGTGTAGGTGGTGGCCCTCCCCTTTACAGAACCAGCCCGGCCCCCAGCACCTGTAAGACCTGTGAATCTGGATCTCTTGTCCCTTTTGCACCCTGAGAGTCGTGTGCAGGAGAGCTGGGGAGTGAGGTGTGGCATGGGGCAGGAGTGAGCCACCCCATCCCCTTTTCTGTCTCAGTCTGTCTCCCTCTGTGTCTCTGTACCCCACGCCACTCCACCTCCACATACCATCAAGTGTTTTTAGTAGCACCCGTCTCTGCAAGGTGACACTGGCTCTGTCTTGCAGGTGGCCAACGTGAGTGTCAAGGATGGCACGTGCACGCTGAGGGACTGCATGTACAAGGATGTGCAGAGGGACTGGCCTGGCTACTCGGAAGGGGACCAGCAGCTGTTGAAGCGTGTGCTTGTCCGGTAAAGCCACCCCGTACCCTAGTGTGTCCCTACTGCCTGAGCTCTTCCTGAGGGTGCTGGGGTGGTCTTGCATGGTCCCAAAGGCCGAGGGGTCCTTGGAAGCCTGTCTGGCTGTTCTCCCCACTGCCCAGGTGCCCCCCACCATGGCCTCCTGTATGGGGAAAGGCCAGCTCCCTCTGAGTGGGGCGGAGGGTGTGAGTCACCAGCCCCAGCCTCAGAGTCCCTGGACGAAAGGCCTCAGTCCACCCAGGCTGCTTGCTGTGGTCCCCAACTTCCCGCCAAGCTTCCTCCAAAAACCCAGGTGTCCCTACCAGCTTCCACTGAAGTCCACCTACTTGTTAACAAGAACCTCTGAAGAACATGCAGGGGAGAGAAGTGGAGCAAAGCGGGGCTTCCTGTGGACATGCTTAAGCAGAGCTAATTAAATGCACCCTCCCAAGCTGATTGGGACCCAGGTCAGGAGAGGTGGGGTGCTCTGGGGAGCTGTGGTCAGGGAGGTAGGCGGTTGATGAGCTCCTCGATAGCTGCCTGTTTTGGACGCTGGGCTGTGAAGCCAATTGTTCAGAGCAGGTTGATATACTAATTAGTCCTTAAGTGATTTCTCAGGGACTTGGAGCTATGTATGAGTTTGTTGTCTTTTTATTTTAAGTTCAGCTGCTTAAAGTAGTGACNTTGGAGCTATGTATGAGTTTGTTGTCTTTTTATTTTAAGTTCAGCTGCTTAAAGTAGTGACTGCATCTGGAGAGCAGAGCAGAGTTGGGGTCACTCCAGGGGTGGTGTTTGTGCACCTTCCCCCAGCCTGCTGGTCAGTGTCCCTCAGGTCACAGCTCTGGCTGGCTGGAGCCCTTGTCCAGTGGTCCTGGTGCTTGGGGGAGGCTGGTGGAGGACACAGTCTTGACAGGAGACCCCTCCTCTGTGTCCCTTCCTTGGGGGTTCTCTGTTATTCTAGCTAAACACATCTCAGTGACTCTTTCACCTTCTTCCTCCAGGTATATCCATCCGTCACACACTTTTGGCCAAAGGGCTGAGTGTTGAAATGGCCTTTTCCACATACCTGA